GAACGACATGAGGGTGAGTAAATGATGACAGCATTTTCATTTTTGGGTGAACTATCCCTTTGAGATAATCCCCAAACATGTGAACAAGCTACTCAAACAAAGCATTTGTCAGGTGGAATCTCTCAAACTAAATCGCGCAACAAACAAAGCAAGCAAGCAGCCATTTAAAGCAGCTATATAGCCATCCAACCTGTTGTACTATTCAATATTTGCATTAATCACTTCTGCTAATTCAGAAATCACTTTGGATAATCGTATCTGCTTTAGTATCAAATATAATCGAAATTAGATTTTTTTAAATCACCTCATTTCAAAAGTAAAAATATTAAAATAGCCTAAATAAACAAAGAACTGCATTAATCATTTCTATTTTAGAGTCTGCGTAATTAAAATGGTTTAGCAAGACTAAAAGCGGCACTTCACACGTTTTGAAGGGATGCTTTACACCAGAGACACTTTTGGGGGAAGGGCTCTCTTTAATATCAGCTGTTGGTGGGAGATAATCCCTCAATTGATAATTCACGACTTGAGTTTCTTTGTCCTAAAACAAAGAGCTGAGAGGCGCCCTTATGTGCTGACAGCTCATTCAGTCGCGCTCTGTATGTACTCCATTTACAAAACACAAGATGTGCTAATGTAATCACACAAATAGGCGCTAATTGTCCTACGGTGCGTGCAAGTTTGTGCGTCAAAGTGTGACCATGATCTGCCCCCACAGATACCTGTCCATGGATAATATTACGAAATTATTATTATCATCATCATCATCATCATCATCACCATTATTATTATTATTATTATATGTATGGGGCGAAAAGTGTTTGGTAATGTTTTGCAATGATTCTACAATGTAAAGGAATATGTATTGCACATTTATTCATTAATAATGATGTTAACGCGACTATGCACAACGTTTCTGTGTTTTGAGACATCGTTTGTTCTGAAAAGTACAAATCTTAACTGAATAAAGTTCACATGGAACTCTTGAAATAACAATTCATTAAATGCAGATGGGGAGGCTGTATTTAAAGAAGGTAACTTCAAATTTAGCCTTTACTGCCACCTTTCGGACAAATTATGGAAAAACACAGAGAAATTGAAAAGCAACCAGCAAAAGTAAAAAAGTCAATAGTTATGTTGCAAATGTAAGATATTGTTTATAGATTTTTTTGTATATATATAGTAAGACTGTACATTGTTTAACCATCTAAATAACAAACAAGGATTTTACAAAACTGTATAATAATGATGGTATAAATATTCTTAGTGATGCATCACTTTCGTCAGGCATATTCTGTACATGAATTTAAATGACAACAGTGACATTTAAAGGAGGACCAACCGTGGCTTGCGTGTAACACAGATGGTTAAAATGGTATATATATGTAAGAAATGTACCTCTTATCCATTTCGTCTTTTAATGCTAGAACCATCGATTTATAATACGGTACATATTATTTTAGATCAGAGGTTGAAACTTGGAACCCCACCTGACGTCATCGCAACAAACTGTCACTGCGCATGCGCATGAACTATAAAGGGCGGGTTCGCACGTTCTTTCTTCCCACTTCCGTCTTCCTCTTGTGAAGGGTAAGTAATATTCACTTTGTGATTTCGTTCTCTTTTTTTATTTTATTTATCTACTAGAGAAGTTTTTAAAATCACGTTCGGTAGGTGTTTTACCAAAATACCCACAGTGCTGAAGTTGTACGAATAAAAACTAAAACTAAGGATTTTGGTGTAGTTCCGCGCTGAGCACGTGGCTCATTTTCGATGCACCCGGGAAGGTTCTAGACGATGAAAACTTGACTGGTTCTGGTTTAGTATTATATTATACCGTTTAGTGCATATGATTGTTAGTAAGATGGATAAACACAAGTTACTAATATTATTCAATTGTTTTAACGGTGCAAATTGGTGATTATTTAAGCGAATAATCTTTGCAGTAGGTTATTTCCAGTGGCCAAACTATCTGAGCAGCTTTATTATGAATTTCACTCTATGTATTTGTTTTACAGTATGTGGGTTGTTGGACCATGGAGTTTTCCTATAGTGCTTTCTCAGATTTTGGTGAGTTTAGATTTCCTGTAGACTTCGCTTTAACACTTTTTTTTTTTGTTTTTTTGGTAGCAATGATGACTTATCTTTTTTCCCCAGCAGATCGACACTGTTGACTTTTTATAACCAAAAATAAGCCATATGATCTGAGCAACCATATAGTTGTGCCAAAATCTGACGTTCATGTTTTGGGATGGCATTGACGTTTACTCCCATCTCCACAGATCATACTGGAGCCAAATGGATAACCTTAAATTCATCAGGCTTCGTTTCAGAAGTCTTTAACACTCTAAAACCGGTAAGGCTGAGCATGTTCTTGGCACATCTGGTTGCCATTTACCCGGTGCACGTGATGACTGATCTTTTTTCCCCAGCAGATCGATAGTGTTGACATTTGCTGTAAACTTTAAGCCAATTCATCTGAAGCGCCATCAGAATAGCTTGGCATACAGCGTAGTGGTGCTTTTCTTGTTCTTAAGTCCTTTTTTTTTTTTTGTCTTTTCAAAAAGGAAGAATTCTGTAATTCAAGAGGACCACACGAGTGACCCTTGACGAATGGCCACATGTGAAGGTATTTATTTATTAGTCTCCAAGAGTGTAGATTTTATTATTCCATTCTCCGACTTAAACGTCAAGTTAAATCTAATGGTTTCTTCCTTTTCTAGGAGTTTGAGCGATCTGTGCTCCTGAAGGCCCTTCAGTGCCAACCCCACGTGGAGCAGTGGATGAAGTACACGATGGGTTTTCTCCAAGCAGTCGTGTTTACCAGCCGTAGGGGAGGAAGTGCCTTTTGAGCGCATTAAAGTTGCTTCTATTTTGACCTACTAGTGTTCCAACATGCTGTTTTTGAAGAGGCATTCAAGTTTGTTCAATTTTAACTTCTCAGAATGCTGTCACTAATTATTGCTTGTAGCTTGTTTGTTCTATGCAAGTGTAAATAGTCTGGCAGTTACCTTTTACATTTTCAATAAAACTAAGCCATGAACTGAACTTTACATTTATGAAAACTTGTTTTCTGCGTTTGTCATCTGTGACTTTATAGAGGTATAATGTAAATCAAGCTGAATTTTCAGTGGAGTGAAATTTGTCTAGGGGGACATTCAAACTGACATAAATTCAAATTGAGCAAAATGAAACTAAAATGCAAATTAACATTAAACCGTATGATTGCTGTAGGATAAGTGTCTAAAATGCAGGAATTTAAAAAGGTCAGATCTTCTGATTATATATATATATTTTGTCACCAGTGGTGTTATGTTAATGGTGCTTTTATGCATTTAACACACCAGAATTAAATACTCTACTGCACACGGTTTTAAAGCAATCTTTCATATTAACAAGCAGTAGCTTTTTACATGTTTCTTTTGTTTTATGAATAGTCACAAAGCTGGCTTCTCAAAGGTTTTACATTTAGTGAGTTATACATCCACTAAAACTAAAATACCTGCCAGTATTTATATAGGGCACTAAGAAAAGACCATTCAAACTCTTCTCAGAGTGCATGGCTCTGCTTTCTATTCAAACAAAAGTGTAGTTCCCATGTGTTCTGTCCCCATTTGATTCACAGATAGTAAAAGCAATATCAATCATTCACACTTTTGTACAAAATATACAGATGTCTTAAGACGTTTGGATAATATTATGTATAAGACTTCAAGACATCCCACACTAAAAAAACCCATTACAATAAATCCACCCAATGCTGCAATAATTCTCTTTTGTGTCTGTAGTGATCCTCAACGTAACGGCAATCTATGATCCAAATAACCTGAAAACAAACACACAAGAACACTTTAAAATATGCCACTCTCCACAAAAACAAAGTTTGTTTTCAACAGAGCATAAAACATGATTATTTTGAGAGCATGACAGTTGAAAACAACTAAATGTTTATGAAGGCAATACTCACAAGATCATGCAAAACATGATGAAAATGTTCCAAAGAGCAATGAATATGCGAAAGTACCGCAGACTCAGCAAAAACTCTCTGATGTTGTCACCTAAATAATGCATAAAAAGAGTAAGATATGACCCCAGCGCTATTTAGGGGGGAAATGCAAAAACGCAGCATTTTGTATCTAATATTTCATAAAAATGCATTCCAGCTCTATGCCATGATAGATTTAGGGCCTCTGTGGTGACCTGTCAGCCGTCTGCTCACTGTACAATTAACATTATACTGTCCCAATAATATTAAATTAACTATTATTTCATAATGCAACGTTAATGAATTGCTGTTACCAGTGCTGGACGATCCAGATTCATCGCCAAACCCTTGAGACTGCGTTTCTCGCTTCTTTCTGCACACAGACACCGATTAGCAAGCTATCATCCAAATGAACACTGACAGATAACATTAGTGTTTTCACTCACAGTTTAAAGTTGAGCACAGCGCCGGCGTTCATGAGCAGAGTGCTGAAAACATAAGAAAATCAGTGACATGGAGTGAGGAAAACACACTCCTGTTACACAGTGACAATAATATACCACACATATGAACATCACGAACAACTTTCTATTTAATAATAGCGCGAAATGTATCCTGCTTTAGAAAAATGTGACATTTACCCAAAAATTAAAAGATCTCCGATCATTTTGGCTGATTATATCAGCCTCGGTTCGTCTTCTTCTTCTTCTTAAGCGTTTTTGGCGGTTGGCAAACCAGCTAATAGGTGCTTTACCGCCACCTGCTGGACTGGAGTGTGGAACAAAAGTCTGGCTGAGAAATATAACTGGATTAATAAAAAAAATTTAAAAAAAAAACCAAAAAAAATTTTTGCCCTACTATTCTATGATCTTCATATTCGTTCTAGGATACCTGTCTCTTTCAGATATGAAATTAACTGTACATATGTTTTCCTTATCTTCTTCTTCTTCGATCTTTGTATGAATACAGTATGAGTCCTCCGTTCATCACCGCCTCCTGGCGGCAGATATAGAACACGACTGTTGCTGCGCACTCCAGTCTGCGAAAGGACTTCTTCTTCTTCTGATGTTTTTTGGCGGTTTTGGCAAGCCAACTTAAAGGTGCTTGCATGCTTCCCTATTTTGTGTAAATTGTCATTTAAAGCTGAATGTCCAATCCTCATTCTTGTTATAATAACATCTTTCTTCCTACTCCCACATCTTATTCTCTCTTCACCTACACAGCCCTGTATCTGGTAAAGATGCCTTCCTTTTATTCCACTATCCCATAACTTTTGCCATATCTTTCTTACTTCAA